ATGACTATGAAATTAAAAAAGAGTAAGTTGTTTCAAATCATAATAAATTGATACACTATAACATTCATTTATGGTTTATTTGCTTAGGAAAGTGTATAAATAAACAAAACGTTTAGAACCTAATTTTTAATCAACAAACAATAAGTAGGTCTGGAAAAAAAATATTTCCTCATCAATTTTACTTCACGGTGCGCTTTTTGATTAGTAATTTAACTTAATAGTCTATTATGCTCGTAAACAAATAGGAAAATATGAAGTTATAGTCGTATTAACGCGTATTTAACTTGGCAAAGGTAAGAGGCCATTGTGCCGATAAGAAAACAAGTATTTTATAGTTTATTTTTCATCGTTTCTGCCGGATACAACACTAGAGTACGCATGCATATGCATGTGACGTCAACTCCGCACAAATTGAATAAAAGCTCTGTTTAAGCATAATTGAAATATTTAACATATGTCAATATAATTTGCATTTATATTTTTTATAATTGGATATAAATTTTAATTGGTTGCTGTTGCATTTTTCAAAGCTAAAAGTTTCCTTAATATATTCAGTCTTAATTGCCTTTGATATTTTTTTTATTTTGAATAGCTATCTAATAAGCAACAGCAATAATAAACTATTATAGAACATTTAGATATGTTATATACGTATTTATAAGGCATTCTTTACTTCCGAGTTCGTTTGTTATAAAAGATTAAAAACTTAGTTTATAACATTAGGTACTTAATTATATCCGGAATCATTTTTTACTCAGGAATTATTATCGTTTACTCTAATTTTATACAATACATATTAGATACATACATGAAAATGTAAGATGTATATATAACACTATAATTTTTTTTTATTTTGAAGTTACACAAGCACGATGCGTTTTTGTTACAAATGGTAATAGATATGACAGCTGAAATAGATTGCTAAATTAACTAAGTAACAAAAGAAAAATAATAAATTTCCATTATTGACGTTTTTTAATATCTGCTACTTTAAAGCTAAATTATAAAAAGCACAAATTTGATAGAACATTAAATATTTAAACCTAAATTATATTAACTAAGTGCAGTATAAAAATTTATACTCTAACAAATAATGCAAAAGTTCGTAAGTTCACTTAAATAAAGAAAACTAATGATTTATGATAGTGTAGAAATGCTCGACATATTTACGAGCGCACAATAGAGGCAAAAAAATTACACTTAATTAGTTTAAAACTGAAAATAAATTAAGTACCTAACGTGACAATGCGCCATTACAAGTGCATGCGAACGTTTATTTTTGCTGTTGGTATGCTTTCATTTGATAAGCAATAATCACATGTTCATCTAATATGTGCTTGAATTCAATAACGCTGAAATAAATACTAGAACTACCTTTGCTTCTGGAACTACGTATAGTAGTATACTTCAGAAATTATTTATAATTTATTATTCAGCCATTTTAATGGTCCACTGCTGGGCACAAACTTTTTTCACGCTGGCCAAGTGAGGTTTGGCGGACTGTCATGGTTGTCTTCCAAAAAACAGCTAAGTTCTCTTAAACATGCAGGTCATACCTTGTTGATTAATGTCTTATATTTTGTGATGAATTATAGCTTATGTCGCTTTCCGGTCTATAAACTAACTCATTGCAAAAGTGTACTTAGTCATGGGAAAGAAGGTCCAAATTCCAACCAACAGATACATTTTCGCATTTATGATATTTATAGTATGAGAACAAAATTACGACGAAAATTAAATTAACTTTAAGCAAATCATTGTAATAAATATTATTTAAAGGAAGACATTAATTTTTATGTCATAATTGAGCATTATTTTAGATACTTATCATAAAAGTGATTTTCAAAACATAGAGGCACTAAACTAAACTAAGAGAAAAAAGCTGTATCTAGTTGTTTTTTCATTTATACCTAATTTAATTTATTTAATTTACGTATGTTATAAAATTATAGGGATCTGTCCCTGCATTCTTGTACATTACCTTGCATATTAAATAATATATGTACGGGGCTATGAAGTGTATTTTTACATGCCAGCCATATTGCTACTCACTTAATGGCTACTCACTTTTAATATTGATAAGAAAACAATATATAATTTCAAAAACATGCCTACTCGTGTTCAGGCGCATTTGTGACCTATGTCACACGCCAAATGTGAACAAAACACGCCATAAAATGTAAACTACCCGTCGCACTTTACTGACTGCGTACTGTACAAATTCTAGACGATTATACTATAATATCTACATGTTTAATAAAACTAAAGTTTTTTATCTTTACGCTCTTTTGATTTTTTTTTTCAATACACCGTTATTGCAATCATTTGCACCTTTTTATAGCGACCACTTTTCGTCAGGACCTATCGAGATAATATGTGTCGGGTCGCGACCCCCAACGCCAAACTTTTTCTTCCTCTTATATATATATATATATATATATATATATATATATATATATATATATATATATAATTAAATATCTATAATGACATATATTCACAACTGTGCAGGACTTGAATCCTAGACATAGGTACGTGCGCGACGGCCCGCGAAATACATTCTAAAGCACGCTTCGCTGATCGAGAAAATAATGTTTAACAGGTTTTATTTTTCGATATCTCTCAAACATGCCTTTGACCTGTGCATAGAATAAAGTTTATTAATTTATTAAAAAATAAAATTAATTTTATTGTATTATAATGAACTGGTAATAAACAAGTGACTAGCACGCTATGATTGTGGAATGCTTCAAATTAATCTGTTCTCATAATGATTTATAATCACGCTAACATGTAATAAGACATGCTACAAGTAGGTTTAAGTATCCATCCTTAGGCTATCACAAAAACGGGAAAAAACATTTTTTTTTTGTAATATGTCTTTTTTTCTATGGTTTCTTCATTTTTTATAAACCTATTTCTGAGTCAACTCTAGGGCGGGCATATTTGATATATAAAAAATTATTTTAATTGGCTCTAAAGCTATTTACTTAAAATAAAGAATACCTATTTGTAAATAATATGATAGTACCCATCGAATTTATTAAAATCAAATCATTTAAGGAAATCCATCTTACGGGGAATCGTAAATTTTTCTGAGATTAAAAACCTATGTGCTATTCCAGACCATAATCTATCTCTGTGAAAAATTTCACCCAGATCCTTTCAGCCCTTCTGGCGTGATTGAGTAACAAACATTCATCCAAACATCCATACATCTAAACCATCCATCCATTTATAATCATAATTTTGTATAGACCATTATTATGAAGTTTAGTAGTTTCAGTCAATGTTACTGAACAGAGAAAGAATAGATAGATATAGATAGTTTAACAAATATTCGACGTGATTATTTAAATTGGCATAACTTTTTTATTTATGAACCGATTGACAAAAAACAAACACTAAATGTTAAGTGAAGCTTACCACAATATATAAATGAATATTACATCTAAATCAGATAAACCGTTTCTGAGATTAGCGTGCACAAGCGCACAGACAAACAGATAAACAGACAAAAATTCTAACAATCATTGTTTTGGGTGCAATTTGCGTTGATAAAGGTCCCAATAATATTTTTTCTCATTTATCTTCCATGTACAGACTGCGATCCGATACATTTTTATTATATGTATAGATAACTATACATTTAAGGTTATATCTAAAAGAAAAATTCCTTTCAAAACGACTAAGATAGTATAAAATATACTTAATACGTGAAACAAAAACATCAACATTGATTAGACGATTTTAACGTTACAGGTATTTTTTACATTAATTAAATTGCTGAGATATCGATGCACTTAAAAATAAAGATAACTTTGATAAAATCTAATATTTTTTGTGTTTTCATAATAAAGAGATATAAAATGTCAACTTATTAATCCTAACAAAAATAAAATTGTCAATTGAAGATACGAATTTATAAACAAATAATTATATTACATACTTATAAGCTAAGTTTCAATATTCTAAATTGCCGCAAATAAGACTTGAAATACTTCTTTTAAGGGGCCAATAAGAAGAATAAAAGGAAAATTTCTTTATCAGATGGCTAAAATCTGCAACCATTTGGGCATAATATGCAAAACGGCAGGCTGAGGCCGCCATCTTATCGTGGATATTGTTTTCGAGTTTCGACAGATCCGTTATTTATGTTTCGGCTTTGCCCTTTTGGTTGTTTGTTTTGGTAACCGGTTGAAAGGATTTTAAGGATTTTCGTATCGCGTCCCAATTGTTTGCCTTAAGGGTTTTCAAATCCTTCACGAATTTTTAGTGCTACTTTAGATGTACTTAGTATATTACATTACTTATCTACATACATATGTAAAGATTTATTATTAGTATTCTGTAAATATAATTTCTAATGAGACTACATTTATAAAATAATACCTATTACGCAAATCCACAAAAAGTAGTAGGAACAGAATCATTAGTTAGTTGCGGTAATTAAAATAAATTGCACAAGGTAAATGACTATCTAATTATACATAATATAATATGATTATAATAAATAATTATAAATTTTATTGTTAAATAATTTCCCTCAATTGATCATCTAATGATGAAGAGGATTTCATTTACTATAAATATATATATATATTTTTAATTATTCCTTATATTGTAACAATACCTATATAAAAATAACTTAGTATCCCTACTTTTTATAAAGCCAATAACTATAATATTATTTCCACATGAGAAAGTAGCAGTTAAATAAAAGTTAATAAACATAAAGAGGCAATCGATTAAAAGGCAACAAAAAAAGTGATGGATGAATGCGTAGACTTAGTAGAGGCGTTTCTTACGTAAATTATAGTTATTTTGGCCCAACCAATAAATCTCCGGCACCATAAAAATATTATATGCAGAAGTAAAGTAATTCCAAAACGAAGCTTAAGTTAAAAAAAAACATACAATTAATTAATTAAATAATATAAATTTCTTAAAATGCAAACTTATTAATAAGAAAGTATACATGCAATAATTTAAAGACTTACCTGTAATATGTCCAACTGGAAAATGTGATTGAAATAGGGGTCCGAATGACGGAACTACTGTTGGTGGTCCAGGCCAGCCCAGGCCATGGTATGCTGCTGCTGCCGCCGCTAATGCGCTGAACGGTGTCGGTCTGATCGGGCCTAATCGCTCCTTTTCATTTGGTGTTGAGGTCCTGTCGTCATCATCGCTCTGAACACCATTGTGCAAATCTTCCACATCAACTATAGAGTCTTCTTGATTAATAGAATCTTCGTATTCATCATCTGATGAAGATACCGTCGCTGAGGCATTTAGATTTAAAGGTGGGGTTTGGGACGACGGCCTCGGTGATAAGGACTTGCCGCCGGGTAACTCGGGTTGCGCTGCCGGTGATTGTCTCAACGGTGATTCAGGAATCGTGCGGTGATGTCTTATCATTTCAGCCGTTTCATCGACCTGATTCGCCTTAGTGTCCGCCAATATGGACGCGACACTAAAGCTGATCCGCGACGCCTTCGGTGGCTCAGTCGCCTCGGCCGGGCTGCTTGGGTACCTCGAAACACTCTGTATCGCCATGTTCACTTCCTTGTCCTCGTATCTTTGTTTCCTTAACATTGAACGCCGGTCAGTTCCATTTAGCACAGTTTCACACTTGTATCGCGATCGTGGGATCGTGTACGCATGCGGGCGCGGTCGGAGGTTGACTGGCCGGTGTAGAGCGGCGGAGACCCTCGCACCGGCTAGGAGGCGTGTCCACGGGTAGCCCCGCCCCCAAAATAGAGCCATCCCGCTCAGCCAATCGACCGTTCCGAGCCGAATTGATCCGAGCGGGGGCAAGGGGAGAGCGATTTAGCACGCTCTTATCTCGTTAGTCTCCTTTGTGATACTCAATTTTTTTGTAGGAATCAAAACATAATTACCTTTTGTAGGGGTTCGCGCGTTTTGATCGCGCACTTTATGTCCGCCACCAGAGGTATAAAGTATAAAAATATAATGAGCAGTCGTGAATGCCGCTTGTTAAATCCTTTTGAGAGATTCTCCGGCTGGTTCCCTTTATGAGATTAGTGCCGGGGGCAGCGTTTTGGTGAATTTCGGCGCGCTGTTTACGGATCCGTTTCAAATTAGCGCTCATGATTTACTACTGCTTTGCCGCCGTAGTGACATTCACTCGCTTGATTTATTTATTTATTTTTAGCCAATTAGACATTGATTTTTATAGTTGAATCTATAGTTATATTTTATTTTAAATTTTCAACAGTTTGCAGAGATAAATTTTATTCCTTTTTTCATTTTATTTACTGTGATTCTAATGTTTTTTTAGAGATTGAAGATTGGATTTCATACAAAACAAAAAACATACAGCGGAATTAAGAACCTCCTCTTTTTAAAGAAATCGGTTGACAATTAAGATTATTATTTAAATTATTAGGTACACAAAAACACTTCAAACGTTTAATTGTCAAAATTTATCACTATTAACTAAAAACTATGGGTACCCAAAAATTTCTGAAATACTTGTAGCTACCTACTAGGTACATGACTTAAAAATTTTAAAATACACCATACAAGTGAAATAAACAATTTCCTATCACTTCACACTCGGTTTCCCAAAATATCGTAGGGGTTGTTATATCATCTTTAACCGCCCTAATATTAACTCGTGCAAGCTTGGGGTGAACTCTATCGCCTCCCTTGCACATATAATAACTAATATATCCGTCTCTCTTCATAATAGTTTCTACTAAATAGGTATTTAGTATTCGGAAGGGAGACATAATTATATGGGCAGAAAAATACAGCTAAATTGTTTATTATCATAGACTTTATGCTATGAGCAATAAGGTTTTATTTTGTTAGCTTTTTTGTAACTGGAAGTTTTGTTCCTCGTATTAGAAATATGACGTTATTAATACCATATTGTTTATGATGTGAATTTATTTCTTCTATGATTAATAGACTAATATTATCGATATTATGTTCAGATTTAATTAATATTTGATGAACACACGAAACGAATGTCCAATTCAAAATAGGTATATACTGATCAATAATTATTTAATTATTAGATATTTTATGATGAATTGTAGTAGAAATGTTGTTGGCCCGATCAATGTTTAAAGGAAGGTGTTCACAGTATAAAATGTTTGTCCAATAAAGGGAAAAAATAGTGTTTACAATAAAGAATTTGTGAATGTGATGAATAAATATAAAAATAATGAAAATTATTATTCATTTACAAATCCTACTATTAATATAAACGGGAAACTTTGTGAGGATGTATGTTTGTAACCCTTTCACGCAAAAATTACGGAAATTACCGATTTTGATGAAACTTTACACTACAGTTTATAAGACTTAGTAAAAAGATAAAGTTACTCATTTTGCATTACGTGGCTGAAGCCGCAGGAAAACGCTAGTTATTCATATATTATTATTGAATATTTTACTTTTTTGCATCATGTTTTGTATAGGTACATACCTATTACATTTGCTTTAAATTTTGATATTGTATTTGAACCGAAATGCATCTAGATGTACCTATTTCCTCGTACATTGTAAATAAATTATACTCTTTACAAAACAAAAAAATAACTGATAGATAATATCTTAAGAAAAATAAAACATTAAATATTAATTTAAATTTAAATGTCTCAAATTCTCTTTCCAACAAAAACATCAATTAACAAACATGTAGGGATAGCAGAAAATCATACCACATGTTTAAGACTATTTTCACTACAAATGATGTGGTATCTTAACTGGCGTCCAAATATAATTAAGGCGCAAGAATGCGAAGAATGCTTACATATGATTTAGGGTCGCATATTTGTAATAGAAACAAAAAATAACAGGGAAAGTTGAGGTCTCCAAGAAGTCTGAATTTCCGGCAGTTGAATTAGCTTTTATGTTATATACATTTCTATAATATAGTGCTTTATAATTTGCTTAGGTTATTATCAATTTTAATATTATAAGGAGGAACATTTTGTTTTTTTTTTGTTTGTTGTATCGAGTAGGCTCCGAAACTGCTGAACCGATTTAGATGAAATTTGGTACGAAAATAGTTTAAGACCCTGGGAAGGACATAGGATCAGTCGTCCCTTAAGGGAGTGAAAATGGGGGTGAAAGTTTGTATGGGGAAGCAACCTAAAAATGAACCCGAGCGAAGCAAGGGTGAGTCGCCAGTATCTAAATAAAGTGATATTTGTATTGTATCTTTCGATATTCAGACTACATAGATATCAGAATTGTTATAAGTTCTGTGACAGTTTTTATACCAAGAATAATGAACATTGTTCCCAATTGGAAAATATCGTAAAAAATAAATTAAAAATAATAAACCCTCGGATCGAGTACCTCTTCCTTTTTTAAGTCAGTCAAAATAGTGGAAGCGCATGCTGAAAATAGCATAGCACACCTGTGGACGATTAACACAAATGTCAAAACGGAATTCCATACCAACGGTTCATACCTAACCAATCAAGCAGAGAATATACCCATAAATATTATGTAGTTCTTGTTGTGTAAGAAATAAGGTATATTTTGAAAAGATAAATTATACATGTTTTCAAACGCTAATTGATAAGGAAGTGTTCGTTTAAACTCAATAAGACAATTAGTGATGTTTTTTATCGATATTTTAGTAATATTTTCGAATGATTTTAAAAAGATTATATTTTAAAACTAATCAAATATAATGGTGCATTCGGCACTTGAAATAAAATGGACTGAACGGAGGGTTTTCTAATGTAATTTTTCTAAACGTACCTATATCTATTTCTAGTAGATACGTACATTATACAAGATTTGATAAGTGATATAGGTTGGTACAACCAGTGCCTGGCTGGCATTATCTGCTACGCCCGAGATACAAGTTCGATTTATGCGTAGGTAGAAAGTTTGTGTAGATGATATAGCTACATGTCTTAAAATATATAAAACTTTTATCAGATCTTAACTAACAAGCTGGAGACCTTTGACAACTTATGTAAATAACCGTAAAGGCCAAAAATAAACTGGGGAAAAATTGAAGTAATATATAGTTTATCGAAAATATCACAGCACTAGTCAGAATATGACATCGAGACATAGACAATTTGTAACCTCGTAACGAGTCGAGTTACACTAAACGTCATAAATCATAATTTTTTTCAATAACAAAAAACTGACGCGGCAAAACGTCTGCTAATTGACATATTCCTTCTTATATTTCTTTAATTAGATATGCGGAATGATTTATAGCCGTGAAATAATGAAAGATTCTATGTTAAAATCTTTCATATATTCTATTACCATTTTCTACCAAAAATACTTAGTAATAGCAATTTATCTAAAATTCATTCACTGACTAATGAAAATCGCTGTTAATAGAAGAATAAAATTATGAAGAAAATTGAAACGTACATAGAGACGCACCACAATAAAGAGAGAGTAGGTAGTGGTAGAGTAGTACCCAGTAAGTCGCTAGTGAACTATAAACTTTATGAATGTACTTGAATATATTATATCATAAATTATTATTAATGCACACTTATATAAATGAACTAGCATTACCCGCGGCTTCACCCGCGTCCAGATGACCAAAAACCAAATTCTTAGGTTTTACATATTAGTATACTCTTACATTGCAGTTTTTGTATTTTTTTTTTGTCAGAAATGAGACATATTCCTACGGTAAAAAGTATCCTATATGTTGACCCGGATAACCAGCTATTACCATACCAAATTTCATCAAAATCTCTCCAGTGGTTTTTCTGTGATGCCGTAACAGACAGACAGGCAGACAGACAGACAAAAATTCTAAAAACTATAGATTCAGCCTATGTATCGATAATTATTATTATTTCAATAAGATTTTCCAAAAAATATGTAATGTACAGATTTCGTATTTATATTTAAGATTTAGATTTAGTATTTATTATATTGTAGTAGGTACTTAGTTACAATTTTATTATATGTATAGAAGTATTAACCTTGCCCTTCGAGGTTTTAAACTCGCTCTTGCTTTGCGTCTGCTCTTCCTTCATCTCATGCTAAAAATAAAAAGCTCACAAATTTTCTATTCTTATATCGTGAGGACTCTTTTCATGCTAAATAGAAGTCTACCACTGTTGACCAAAGTACAGACCCATGCTTCTATTTCATATAGTAAGTATAATTTATATTTACTGCTTGAAGCTTTTTTCAAATACACGCGAACACGGGCGGAGCCGCGGGCAATGCTAGTAAATATATATAGTTACACTAATCACATTGGCTTTTTTCTAAGTCATGTTATAAATAATAAGAAACCGCTACTCTTCTTAATGCCACGTCAAAACAATTGGAACAATATATAAGTATAAATAATTCTTGTTACTTTCGAGCAAACGTATGTATCTAAAAATACTTGCGTATGCTGTGTCGTTTGATTTATTCATAAACTTTGATTTAGTGCTCGCCTTTAAATGATGTGGTTGATACTTTTATGTGCCACGCTTTTATTTAATGTAGCTATTTGTTAATATACATATGATTTAGTGAAGGCAATTATTTTATTAAATGTTCCTATATCAGATTACTAAATATCTACTCATATTTTTTTATATCTAAATTCTTTTATTTAAAACGTTCTATAAATAGCATACCTATTAGTGTTCCTAAGAAACGTATTGAAAAAAACAAATGTCCAAAAATATAGGAAATACTTAAAAGAATAAAATAGTATTTTCACTCTCCATCACCAAAACCATCTATTTATCTCAAAGAAGATAGAAACTCTGACTTTTCCCTAGTATAGTATTATA